AGATGTGTTTAAACACAGTGAGCAAACCATCTGTTTACAATATGGTCAGTGATGTTACACAACCAAAATCATGTAAAAATACCACAGACTGTTACATACATGTGCAAGAGCACAACAACTGGTTTATGCCAGCTGGATGTCATATTACACAAAGCAGTGCACAGTCTGTCAATAAAGGTTTACATTTCAGGTAAACAAAAAATGTTTTAGTCCTTATTAGGTCTTAAAATGACTACTACATCTACTCAATCAGTATTTATAGAACTGCCTCTAACTGACTTTATTGATCTCTCATTGGTTCAGTTCATTGAGCTTTTGGGGGCATTTGTTTTTATGCACAGCTCTTTCAACACCCTGCCACAGCATTTCAATCAGCCTGAGGTCTGGACTTTGACTGGGTCATCACAACGTGATCATCATTCATTCTGATCATCATCCCATTGCCCCAAACGTTAGGTGTCAGACAGATGGCTTCACATCAAACAAAGGATAAAGGATGTCAAAACACACCTTAATGCTCCTGAGCAGCAAACTGCTTTTATCAAGGTGCTCATAATCAGCTAATCAAATGCATTTGATTCTTTTTTATTACCATCTTACTTATCCTGTTGAATCCTATGGAAGCGGTGAGGCTGTAAACAGATTTTCACACACTTTCTGCAATTTGGCTTATTTTTTGCTGAATGATGACTTTGTCTAATATGCCACGCGTTGTTTATTTGAGGTTGTAGTTACTGATTTTAAAACCTGCTAAGGACCAGATTATTTTTATTATATGTCCTGATCTGCAAAACCTTATAAAGACAATTACATACAAAAAACCCTGCAGAAAAAAATCATGTACCACGTCAGTATTTCAAAGGATACTCTATTATATATCAAGACTACAATAAGCTTTCTATCCAAGGAACTGTATCATCTTCAGTTAATAGACCGTGCCAGTAAATCTCACCTGGTTTATGTTGGTCTCTTGCACCTGTGGGTATCACTACAAATTTCTCAAAGGCCTCAACAAAATAAGTATTTAAAGTTTTGTTTTTAAACACTAGAGGGCAGCGTCACTTACCATGATCCCCAACTCATCACAAATTTCATAAAAGAGATCCTGTTCATACACTCCTCCTCCCCAGACCCTGAGGGCATTCATGTTAGCATCTACTGCTGATTGTAACAAGTTCTTTAAGCTGCAAGACAGACAGGCAGAAAGATCTGGCATTAATGAAAATAAAATACTAAAAAGACCCGACACGTACCTACACACAAGAGGCAAAAGAGGAATATAGGTTAAACTAAACAGCGACCACTTGACTGAACTCAAAAGAACCAACGTCCACTCACACATCAGGGGTGACCTGGTCCTGGAAGGAGTGGACTGGGATCCAGTTGGAGCCTTTGAGGAAAATTGGTTTCCCGTTGATACGGAAATAAAAGCTCAAGCCCGGGGATCCAACAACTGGCTCCTGGATGAGCTCCACGGTGCGAAAATACACCTGCGGGAGATACTCTCATGAGCGCTTTCAATTTACTACAACAGCTACTTTAAAAATCAGTGAAAACTTCAACTGTCCCATTCAATGTGGGGCAAGTGGCATGAAAATGAAAAAGGGTGAAAAGTATTTTATTTTTCAACAAAGAAAAATAGTTTTTATTCCTTTTCTAAGTGGACACATCCAAAAAGTGCTTTTCCTGAGAAAAACAGTCTACTTCATTATTATTTCAACACCCATTCGTGAGTGAGACTGTGGTGCAACGGAGGAAAAGGAAGAGATCATCAGGGAGAGAATGAGATAAGAAGGAGGTGAGGCTTTAAAACCTAAGACCACTGCACCAGCTGTTAGGCATGGTGGTGGTAGCATCATGCTCTGGGGCCGTCGTAGAAGCTTGTTTATGGAAATCAAAAGCTTGTAGTCGAGGCACAACTTGCTAAGGGACATTTAACCAAATGTTCTTGAGAGTGTACGTGTATATCTGATGCAGTATACTTTTGATTCTGTGAGGTTTAGAGAAAATCCAATATAAACTCAAACTTTGCAGTTATGCAATTTTTATATTGAAACCATAGACTGTATATAAAAGATGTATCCACTGTGACATCAGCTATTTGTTTGTGAAGTCTGCATTAAATTCTGCACTTTTGTTGTTAAACTGGACATCACACGCGAGCTACTGTGAAACTCAGGGACATTGTTCACTCAGTAGACAAAGAACAATAGATAGAGAAGAGATAGTTAAATCTGGTGACCCAATTAACTGCACTGGGATTAAAATCCATAAATATTTATGACTTTATTCTTCAATAAAGTCATAAACCATGTGAGCAGTAGGGTCATTTCTACATAACCAAACTTTGTCTTGTAACCGCAAGATGCCACTCGATGCTGGCCTTTAAAAACATTACAAGTTTAAGTTATCTGCATTGTCTTCAGTTGTCAGACTTGGAGGCTACGATAAATTGCACTGTGATTAAAATCCATAAATAAAAAATGAGGAGACTGCATGTGCTGACAGGCAGCACACTCTCACCTTAGACTCTGTGCTGAAAATTAAAAACTCATCCTGAAATCCTCTGATAGTGAGACGGTAAAACGGTTGTTCTCCATGTCCATTTGGCCACCATAGTTTCACCTGACTGGCCTGAATGAGGAAAAAAAATAAAGCATGAGCGTGGACGGGTAATTGATATTACACACAACAATGAGACTGGAGTCATTTCAAGCACCGTGTTGATGAGTATGGTGAAGTTGCTCTTGGTCTTTCCAGGGTTAAAGTGTGTCTGGAAGGTTTGCTCTGAATCCAGTTCAGGTATGGAGAGTGTGAGCTGGCCACGTGCTGTCTGAACTGCATCTATAAGAAGCTCAACCTGCACCCTCCACTGGGAGAAGGCATCATCTGGACAGATAGATTATTCATAAAAAGACACAGGAAATACTGGAATAAGTAAGAGAGGGCGCTTTATCGCGAAGATTCTCAGAACTTTCTGGAAAATAGCCCAAGATCCTTCCTGAGGAAGTCACAACAGAACACTGAACTCCAAAAATCTAAATTCAGTGCAGCTCGCGACAAATAAATAAATAAAATTCCTTTTTGTGTTGAGTGCCTGCGTCTTACACAACTGCTCTTATGCAATCGATAAATAATGCACCACTCTCTATCAGAGGAGAGACACTAAGGCTTTATAAAATTCTCCTTATATCTGAAATTGCCCCCAGTTTGACTATCCATTTATCCCCAAGAAAAGGTTGGTGATCAAGATTAGATGGGACGTACTGTAGAGAGGGACAGAGGAAACCTGGACGAGCTGCAGAATATCAAAAGCCTCGAGTCGAACGCCTTTCCACAGTCCCATCGTGGGGAACGAAGGTCCCCAGTCCCAACTGAAAGAGCTCTGCTCCTGGACCAACACAGACACTGAGGTTTATTTTTCTTCAGGCACAGTTACAGGTCCATACATATTGGCTCATGTCATCCACCACAGTGGATTTTAAAGTCAACCTTTCACAATGCCATGGAAGGGCAGACTTTAAGCTTTAATTATAAAGGGTTTGCTATTATGTTTGAAGGTATTCATTCTCTGTTTTTACCAGTTTATTTTCTAGAAGGGAGGGACTTACTTTTCTGATAAAATTGACATGGCATTCCCCTTTTTGGACACCTGGAGGACATTCAGGAGGAACTACGTAAGACGTGTGAGCTTTCCTCTGCTCAGACGCGTAAAGAATCGGTGACAGCAAACCAACTTGCAGAACATTTTCGCCGTCTTTCAGCAAGTCTTTCACAGAAAAGTCCTACACACCAAAGAAGCACAGCACACGGGTGATACATGTGCAAGAACATGTGGGGCGGTACTGTGCGCTTGTTTCAAGTTAAACATACATGTCGACAAAACATGTTGTTGGTCTTTCCAACAGCAATCCCATTGAGTGAAACCGACCCAACGGTGTCCACGCCATCAAACACAAGAAGCACCTTCTGCTTGACGCTATCAAGAGATTACACAGATTAGTTAGACAGAGAGCACAAGGAGTCTCTAGATTATGACCTATACAGGTATAGTGACCTCAGCTCAGCAGACAATGTAAATGTGGTTGTGTATGTCCAGTTGTCGAGCGCAATCCATCGATAAGAGACATCGTTGAACCTGAAATACGGGTCCTGAAAGACAAAAAAGGACAAGGTTTATCTACCAGGAATGACAAATGCTAGTCCTCTTAGTTTTTGGCTGTCAAATGTTTTACCAGCACATGCAGTACATTTTATGTCAGTGCATAATGTGTTTAAGGGGTGCGGCTGTTTAAGGGGTGTTCCACTGTATGTTTTCCCAGTCCAGCTCTTGTATAACTCTGCATACTCCAATCTTTTCTCTTGGCTTCCCTTCCTTATGAATGGGTTCTTGACAGCAACCTGTCCACAGAGACCTTCTGATCAGGTTTCAATGAACAGAAGCTGGATCAGCTGAAGGGCCAGCTGGATTTCTTCACTAAGACCCTGTGGTGTGTGGGTTTTGTGTGTGTGTGTGTGTGTGTGCGCGCGTTTGTCATTTCTTTAACTAGTCTTCAGGAATACCTCATGAGGGACATTAAAGCTCTATGCATGTTTGCTAGTTTTTGTTCCTTCTCTCAGGATAATCCCACATTGCTTCAATAATGACATCTGCGTTCTGGGAGGGCAATCCATTACTGATGGTGTTATAATGGCTTGGTGACTACTCTTCCAGTGAGACCTTTTCTGATGACCCATTAACAAACAATAGATCAACTGAAGGATCATAATTTAAAAGATCCCTGAGTTGGGTGCCTTTTTTTTTTTTTTTTTTTTTAAATACTTGAATGATTCATATCGTTAGCTTCATAGCATAAGTGCCTAAGTCATTTTTTGGTCAAATTGAGATTTTTGCCTAACTTTACTCCCCTACCACTGCTGCATCATCCTGTCCGTCTGAAACACAAAACACAAAAAAATGACTTAGGCACTTATGCTATGAAGCTAACGATATGTCATGTTAAGTGTTTTAACAAAAAAATGCAGTTTTACAATGACTGAGCTAAGAATGAGTGAAAAGGCAGCAAATGTCCAAAGGACCTTCAGAAAGTCTGGCTCTGGAAATGTAAAGAAACAAAGGGTGACTCAAACTTTTTCACTATATTGTAATATGTAATATGCTTAGAAATATTGCCTCCTAAGAGACCTACTAAATATAAAGGTTTTCTCTGACTTCCATTTTGCTTGAGTAGTTTTCCATAATTGCTTACCATGTCGGTAAATGTTGTATACACACCCTTGTGTTTAGAAATGCAAAACACTCCCTTATTTGGTCCCTCTAAAATAAGTACATATGTTTGTTGATTAGGAAATTATGCTTTAAAAAATCTAATTCATCTTTAAACTATATTTTTATATTAAACCTGTAGCAGGATTTTGTTGAAAGGTGAGTTAGAAAAAAAGCTTCTCTTTTTGTCGTGCCTGCGAACAGCTGACTACCACGAGCAGGTCACGTGACAAACACGGAAGCCCAGTATCGGTAAACGAAGTTAAAACGAAAAGAGTACACAATTATGGAGGCTTGAGTGAACTCTCCGTGCCTACAACGAGATCTAAACTATGCTGCTGCATGTGCGCCTCTCTGGCTGGGCCTGCTGGTGTTTGTTTTCCGGTGTTTTCTCGGTATTTTCTCTGCAGCAGCGTCTCACTGTGAACCTGAACGGCAAATGGAGGCTGTCAAACTCCAACGGTTCATTGTTACTGCCTGCACAGGTCCCAGGCTGTGTCCACTCAGCTCTGCAGCAGCAGGGATACATCACGGTAAGACGACTCACTTCATGGTGTTAATTTGTAGTCTTTAATCTTTCATTTATGTGCATTTAAGTAATGCATTTTTAACTGATCCCTATAAACTTTATTCCATGTAGTCATTTATCAAATGTTTAGATTGTATGTAAAATATATCAGACAGCCTGCGTGGGTGCAAAGAGTGAAAGACATATACAGGTGAGACTAAAGGTTAATCCCAGTTCCAAGAAGGAAACAAATGTCAAAACTCTGAGAATATGTCTGCTGTTTGAAGTATTTACTGCAAGGAGCTATCAGGTTTGTGATAGATGACAAACGGTGTTGAGCAATAGTTATCCAGGCTTTCTGAAGGTCTAGCTCACTCATTTTCCGCTGAGTCCTTGATCCCGACCATTTTAAGAAGAATGCTTTTGTTCGTTTGTTCATTTATTAAAGCTCTTAACACTGATCTATGCATAAAGCAACTCAAGTATAAAACAGGGACCCAACTGCAGGGGGAAAAAGCAATTTTCTTTCTACACATAAAAACCTAGAAAATAACCCATTCTTATATCAAGAAGGTGATTCCCAAAGAGCTAATAGCTGACAACATGGCATATCAGCATGATGTGCAAGGTGTCTTTAAAAAAAAAATGAGGAAAGTGGAAAAGTGAAGGACAAATACAGAAGTGACAGGCCCACTATCTGAAAGGTGTGAAGAAATCCAGCTGGCCCTTCAGCTGATCCAGCTTCTGTTCATTGAAACCTGATCAGAAGGTCTCTGTGGACAGGTTGCTGTCAAGAACCCATTCATAAGGAAGGGAAGCCAAGAGAAAAGATTGGAGTATGCAGAGTTATACAAGAGCTGGACTGGGAAAACATACAGTGGAACACCCCTTAAACAGCCGCACCCCTTAAACACATTATGCACTGACATAAAATGTACTGCATGTGCTGGTAAAACATTTGACAGCCAAAAACTAAGAGGACTAGCATTTGTCATTCCTGGTAGATAAACCTTGTCCTTTTTTGTCTTTCAGGACCCGTATTTCAGGTTCAACGATGTCTCTTATCGATGGATTGCGCTCGACAACTGGACATACACAACCACATTTACATTGTCTGCTGAGCTGAGGTCACTATACCTGTATAGGTCATAATCTAGAGACTCCTTGTGCTCTCTGTCTAACTAATCTGTGTAATCTCTTGATAGCGTCAAGCAGAAGGTGCTTCTTGTGTTTGATGGCGTGGACACCGTTGGGTCGGTTTCACTCAATGGGATTGCTGTTGGAAAGACCAACAACATGTTTTGTCGACATGTATGTTTAACTTGAAACAAGCGCACAGTACCGCCCCACATGTTCTTGCACATGTATCACCTGTGTGCTGTGCTTCTTTGGTGTGTAGGACTTTTCTGTGAAAAATCTCTCTCTTTTT